TTTTCAAAAAGATTAATCAACAACAAATCATAATTTTCATTCATGATTTGTTGTCACTAGCAAATACAAATATCTCACAATTAGTTGATTGCATGCCGTTATTTGCATCTGTCTTCGCGAGGCAAAAATGTCTACCTAGCTTATTTACATTATTTACATAATACACATATAGGAGTACCTATACACCCCCACAATAATGTTGGTTACTCACACACTTATATTAACATATAAACAATATCACAAAAATGAAACAAAACAATCAAAATCAAATCAAATCAATGTTTTCGTTGACACCCCTGAATTTATTGGCATACCAGCGCAACAGATTGTTATCATGAAATGGAACGTAATTAATATCGTTGACGACTCATTTAACTAACATTCCCTTTGATATTAAGAGGTGAATTAAGCGTCGTCATTATGCATAAATCTCTTCATTTGGTTAATTACTACGCCATACTTAAGTTTGTATGTATGTAATGTGGTTAGTTCCTCGAAGCTCTTGCGGGATATGTACGTTTCAGAACATTTTAATCTTATTATTGGTATTGTTTTGTTCATTTCAGGATATTTGACTGCGCGTTTCGCGCGGGGCTGGCCAACTATCTGCCGCGCAACAGCGCAACGCTAGCTCGCCGCTCGACCAGAACCAGACCTGAGCGTACTGAGCCTCAAAGGGCCAATAAACCACCACAGACGTGGCCCTATGGGGCTGATGCTTAGCCGGGGTTGCGGGGTAGACGCAATGAGGCACCGCGGCTTTGGCCTAGCGCACGAGAAGAAACGGGGGGGGGGGGTTTAGTCAGTAAGGGTCTGTCACCTTCCTCACGACGGGAGAAGTCACTTGATGATTTTCCTCTGACACCAAAAAAAAAATATGTTGGTAATGTGGTAATTTAGGATCATGAGCATATATTGACTGCACGGTTGGCGCGGTGGCTGGCCATGGGGCTGCCGCACAACGTGTCGCGGTTTGAATTCCTGCACAGAACAACTCTTTTTGTAATCCAGAAAATGTGGTTTCGGGCCTGTGTGTGATGTGCTGATGAGTATGTAAAACTGTAGGTTTGCAATCGTACCCGACATAGGAAAAAGTCATAGTGTGGAGCAAAATTTTTTTAAACATTAAAAAAGAACAGTAAAAATCTTTTCCATTAACAAGCGAATGACGTGGCTTTCGTTCCATTTTATTTCATTTTTTTCAACAAAAATCAAATAACAATCGGATAGTTCCAGTTCCAGTAACCGAATGCCAAAGAGCTTCTCGGCAAACTAAAAATCAAGTCTAGGTAGGGAACGTGATTTTTGGAATCGTAATATATTTGTACAATTGATTCACATGAATCAAAAAGCAATATGTATAACTATAAACCCATGTATGCCACTAATTTCACCTACCCCTCAAATTTAGTAGAATACCTATTTAATAAATCAACAAAAATATAAAAAATACAAGACCAAAAATTCCAAGGAGTCCAAGGTTACTTTTAATAAAGGTTACCTTAATAGACTAGACTAATGAAGCTTAAGTAAAGTTATAATTAATAAATCAGGCTAAAAACATAATTAATACTCATTAAAATGTGCAAATAATTAAAACACAGACTAGATTATTAGGACTTTTTATGTTGCCCAGAGTCTTTTTATAGAAAATTCATGTTTCATTAAGTACCTAGGCTAGGTAAATTACGACGAATTAAATATATCTACTTTGTTAAGATTACGTCATATTATTATTATGTTTTAGGTCAAAGGAGCTTATATATAACTATTAGCAAATGCTGTGCAAAATTTTACAAAAAATAACTGTATTTATCTCATATATAAGATACTAGCTTTTGCCCACAACTTTGTACCCGTGGTATTTATTTATTAATTTATTTAAAATAAGCATACCAACAATACAATCACCCAATGTTTTACAAAAAACTCAATAATCAAAAAATTGGATGCACAAGCAATTGTACAAATTACAGGTGTGCATGACATTAAACATGAAAGGTTTTTGAGACATATACAAGAATATATGAATATAATAAGCAAATAATTAAAAATAAAAAAAAACTACGTTTAAAAAAACCGACTTCAAAAACAAAAAAGTGTCAAATAATTAAAATAGATATTTTAATAGCACTCTTACGTACGCGAAGCTAATACTTTTAATATTAATAATAAAACACTATCAATTCTATGTGCTACCTATTCATAGGTTTAAAGTCGGTGCCAAGCCTAATACATAATATTATAAGCATTTGATTGATGGCCTTAGCGTAGAATCAGAAGTCTATATTGTTTCGTTACATGCGAAATTATATATAGCTTAGAAAGATATTCGGGTGAAATATGAATTCTAAAAGTTTTCTCGTACTTAACGTAACTCGTGGGTTGTTAAAAGTAGTAGTAGTTAGGTTCGTTGTTGGTTGTGGAAATTTCGTCCTTTAGCAGTTAAACAGTCTTAATTCTCATTTAGTTTTATTCTGTTTAGGGCTTGGCACCGACTTCAAACCTATGAATAGGTAGCACATAGAATTGATAGTGTTTTATTATTAATATTAAAAGTATTAGCTTCGCGTACGTAAGAGTGCTATTAAAATATCTATTTTAATTATTTGACACTTTTTTGTTTTTGAAGTCGGTTTTTTTAAACGTAGTTTTTTTTTTTTTTACTTTTTAGTGTCTGTTACAAGTTCTTCTGTAAACTACAGTAACATTTTAAATATAAATTAACATATTGAATAGTATATATATTTTTAAGTAGCTATGTGTAGGCCTGCGAAAGGAGCCGCTCTATTAAAAAATATAGATCCCAAGAAATGGGAAAGTTCTCATCATCATCATCAGCCTTTTTAATGTTCCCACTACTGGGTCACAAGCCACCTCTCTAGGAGAGGGAAAGCTCTTATCAATTAAACAAATTAAGTCCAAACACGAGGTCGCTACTGTAAACCGTTGAGGAGTTCCCTAGACTGTCCTTCGTCTTGATCTCTAATGATAGTCACAATCCATCTAGATGTAAAGTTATTATCAAACCCAATTAATTAAGCTCAAACACAAGGAAGCTGCTATGAATCGTTGAGGAATTCCCTCGACTGTCAATGGTCTCCATCGTCAGGTACACTGCAGACCTTCAGTTGTTATAATCCATACATGTACAAAGTTTTCATCAACATAAATGAATTAAGTTCAAACACGAAGTAGTTACTGTAAACCGTTCAGGAGTTCCCTGAGCTGTCCTTCGTTCTCATCATCAGACCCTTAATGATAGTTACAGATGTGCAAAGTGCTCGCCAATACGAATCATTCAAGCCCAAACACAAGGCAACTGCTCCAAATAGTCAAGGAGATCCCTCGACTGTCTTCCAGCTCCAACATCTGGTCGACTTCGACCTTCGTCAAGTTGTAGTGTTGTTAAAGGCCTACTTAAACATCATACAAAAAAACTACTCGCCCCTACAATTTTCGAAAGTTCTCCTCGGTTTCTCCAGGATTCCATCATCAGGTCCTGACTTCATGACAATGGGACCAAATGGCAAGTATACCCTATCGAATAAAAAAAAAAATTTTGCAAATCGGTCTAGGCGTCTTCGAGTAACCGGTGTACATACATAAAAAAAAAAAAAAATACTCGTCGAATTGAGAACCTCCTCCTTTTTTTGAAGTCGGTTAAAAACATGTTAAAGCAATAACGATGTGTATAGTGAAATTCTGCAGATTTTTGGTATAAAAACTATCCTATGTCCTTTCTGGAGTTCACAATTATTACTGTACCAAATTTCACAGGAATCAGTTCAGTAGTTTAGGCGTGAAGAAAAGACAGACAGACAGACAGAGTTACTTCCGCATTTATCATATTAGTTTGGATTAGTTTGGTTGAGAACAATATAAAAATTATCCTTCCATACATTCACAATGGTCCGAATAAATCAGAACAAATGCATCTACCAAATACATCAAAAAAAAAAACAACAATATCTTCAAATAAAACAGCAATGCATAAATACGGCACTTAAATCGCGGGCATTACCGCACTACATCCAACGTAACATAGCATTTAACTAAATAAAGTGGAAAATAAAACACCCTGTTTACCATACAGTCGGTCGAGCTCGCTCTCTTTAATCACGAGAGGATAAATAAGCTCGCGTTGGCTCCTGCGAGATTCCTGGAAATCCACATGCCATAGTGGACTGCGCTTTGCGTGTGGTACAAGATAATTATCTATACTAATATTATAAAGAGGTAAAATTTGTAAGTTTGTATGTAGGGGGGGTTGGTAATCTTTGGAACCGCTGGACGGATTTCCACTGATAGATAGCTACAATATTCCTGAGTGCTATAGGCTATAAAACATCACTCTACGATTCAATGGAGCCAAGCAGCGGGTGAAACCGCGCGAGAGTAGCTAGTTGTAAAATATAGGACCTTGTTTTTGGTGAAGTAATCTGTGCAAAATGGTGACTGGAAAGGTTTGATTTGTAATGGTTAACATGATTTAGCAGATTCAACACATGTTTTTTTCGGCTTTTTGTAGTCACAGAGATCTGTATATGTAACAATATCTATCTCTATCATAATTTGCTAGCTACTAAATGTAGTTATTTACCTACGATACAACCGATATTTGATTCCCTTGTAATAAAGAGCTCTCTATTGCACCATGAGACTTTTAAAATTTCTATAAAAAAGTAACATTTCGCATTTATATGAATGATAAAACTCATTTCGACGAAAAAAAAGAAATAACTCAAAAAAATCGTAAGCAAACAAAACCTTTCTTTCACTTTGGGACCTCGGTTGAAGATCTAAGCTCAGGCCAATAAACACTTGACGAAGGTGGCTATCTGTCAGGAGTGGGGATAGAGCTGGTCGATAACATGTCTTATCACAACATTGCTAGAGTTATTCTGTCTGAAAATACGTCCTTGTTGATTTTACACATATTTATTGTTATCAAAACTTTTCAGAGACTGAATATTTGTGTAATATTTTTTTCTTTATTCTCACCACATGACCAGCTTAAAAGTGCTCAGTGTAGTCTTCTTCTCACAGGGAGAAGGTAAAGCATTAACTATCATTTTTGCTAAAAGTGGATAGGCGATTTCAAATTTAGAAATTATCGGTCTAGGTTTATTTACATGAGCCAGAGATCGGGCAAGACTGGACTATTTTTTTTTTGTGAGGGGAACATCATCAAATCCCTTCTCCCGCCCAAGGCCGGGCGGGAGGGAGTGTCAGATTCTTACAGACTAAAAACCCCCCTGTCCCTTTTCCTGCTCTGGGCCGCGGTCGCGGTGCCTCATTGCGCTTACCCCGCAACTCCGATGGACATCAGCCCTTTAGGGCCCCGTCTGTGGTGGGTGATCTAAGACTATGGGGAGAACTTAATATTAATGTGCTCTAGAGTTAGATCACATTAATACTAAGTTCTTGTGTTACCGTAAGCCAGACTTACCAATTAGTATGTGTTCTGGACATAAAATAAAACAAAATTGGATGTACAGTATATTATAATTGACCTACGCTTAGAAGACTCAATCTGTATGAGCTGACCACAGATATAAAGTGCGTCCACCCTGAAACGAATAAAATACATTTTATTACACAATCTCCTTGTATATTAGGTATTAGGTTTACACGAAATTGAATGAATTTTTAAACTGTTAATTAAAATATTTCTACCATTCAATTTACGAGATCAAAAAAGGATTTCGAATTATGAATATAAAACGATATTTTAGCATTTATTTGACGGATAAATAAGCAAATTCGATACTGAATTAGACTTAAAGATTTTGAGTCGGATTTGTATTACTTTTCAAGTACTTTCTTTAGATCAAAACTTTTTTCCGAAGTGTAGACATAATGCTACTAAATAACTGTGTTTGTGTTATGACTAAAATCGTCATACACCGTGGCGTAGTCTATATTTTGTCGTTTTGTTGCATAAAAATAGCTACTCAATACTGCCTACTTTTTCCAAACAGCTTTAAAAATTTTCAATTAAATTTACGATAACTCACATATACCTACTCAAAACTGGCCGAAATCCTTCCAAATTTTGTGCTAAGCACAATAAAAGGGTAAGATAAGGATAATGGTAACTGGCAAATAAAAAAATATTGTCCAATACGGACTCTGATGTTATCACATTTGAAGCGAAAACGGAAACTGAGAGAGAAAATAATCTTATACACTCTTCATTCATTTTTAAAGTAACGAATCCAACATTTAATTTTATTTAACCAAATCATATTTTTATTCGTGAATTACTTTTGATGTCAATTGACTCATTAACCTGTCCATTGTGCATGCCATCCATATAATATCAATAATACATAGTGATAAATACAATTTTGAAAATAAGTTTATATAAATTATTTATAACCTTAGTATCGGAATTATCGCCTATAATCGAGCGAAAACAGCGATGGCCGCTCGGGGATTAGTGGAAGAGTTACTAAGAGACTACGCATTAATCTTAATCTTCAACTTGTTCCTCAACCCTCAACTGCGATCGACAACCCGACTGTTAAGCTTGAAGATTATACCGACAGAGTCAAAGTCAAAATCAAAGTCAAAGTCAAAGTCAAAGTCAAAGTCAAAGTCAAAGTCAAAGTCAAAGTCAAAGTCAAAGTCAAAGTCAAAGTCAAAGTCAAAGTCAAAGTCAAAGTCAAAGTCAAAGTCAAAGTCAAAGTCAAAGTCAAAGTCAAGTCAAAGTCAAAGTCAAAGTCAAAGTCAAAGTCAAAGTCAAAGTCAAAGTCAAAGTCAAAGTCAAAGTCAAAGTCAAAGTCAAAGTCAAAGTCAAAGTCAAAGTCAAAGTCAAAGTTAAAGTCAAAGTCAAAGTCAAAATCAAAGTCAAAGTCAAAATCAAATTTTATTTTTGAATTAAACCATTATTGGCATTTTCAAACATCAAACAAAGATTAAAATACAAAAAGTGTCAGTCTGTTGGTGGCCCTCTAGTAAAGTTATTTGCTCATTCAAAAGTGTAGGTTCCTATGGAGAAGAACGAGCAAGAAACTCCATGGATACTCTTTTTCAATCAATTTCAGAATCAAATTCTTTGTTACCTTATTAAATTTTATTCATTATCATGAGAGAATAGTGGTGTAATGCTAATATTTAGTCATAAAATAGAAAAGGAAAATATAACAAACCTTTGTATAATAAGAGTATTATTCTATAATCTAGTATTTGGCTGTTCATTTTGAGTTTTAGTTGAAAGGCACAATAAAGATTATTCTACACTAACCATGAAATTATTCAATCAATGAAACTCACCTAGACCAACGATCATTACGATGACCATCCATATAAGTGCGATAGCTTGTGGATATCGCCCCTCGACTATCAATAGCAGTGGTATAAGGATTGCAAGCACTAATTTTATACACAGACACACGATACTCAACCAAATGTAATAGGACATTAAATCGGTATTCTCCTGAAAAGAGTAAAATTTATAATAGTCATTTTTAGGTCTAGATACCAGTTTGAGTAAAAGGTAGGACTATTGTATTTTTATTTTCGTGAGTATTTTTTTTAACGGGTAACAAATTCACTTGTGACATTTACCAAATCGTGTTTCACTTAGTGTTGCTTATTTATATTATGAGACCCTTGTTTAGCCATATAGTTAAATCAAAGACCATTTTTTTTAAATTTCAGGCATAAATTTTACCTTTGATACGTCAAAATAGAATAATAGGCTTCCAGTCTGTTCGTCAATGAAGCTAAATGCTCGTTCCAAAGTATAGATTCGAATGAAGAAGAACGAGCAGGAAATTCCAATTCCAAATACGCGAGTAAGCCGTTAAATATAATAATTGGGTAGTTTCCTAGGTCAAAAATAAATTATTTCGACGTTTCAATACAATAAAATATTGAAAAATAACTATACTTTTACTCATCGATTGATCGATATACTAATTTTTTGATTTTTTTAGCTAATTATTAAGAAATAAGTGAGCTATTTGACGCAAAAAAGTTATGACGTCATAGCTAAGTTTTTCATACAAATTTCATAGAAAATTATCGTTTTTGACGTTTGGATAAAAGTATTTAATTTGACTAGTTGGAAACTACCGTATTAAATATAAGCATCCTAAACTCGGCTTATATTATACAATTAAGCTTTTGATTTCGATCCTTCCATTGACGGTGGAAAACAATATTGACAAGGCTACCACTAATACATAACACTTATTAATTAAATGAGTCTTAATGATACACAATAATACTCACATCTAGAGCGGCCATTAAAAGCAGGACAGAGGCCAAGACAAACATGATTGTGACGATAACAAATATTGACAGGAACACAACTAATATTAACGTAGATGCCGTTAAGTTTATTCTGTCTCTTATTAATAATGCCGTTGCCATTGTGACGCCGAATAGCTGGAACAAAAAAATTGCTGTTAGTTCTTAGAAAACGTACTTTAGTCGGAATTGGGAGGGAATTGCGATTGGGTAGGGGAAAGGATCGAGAGTCCGGCCGGGTCGCCGAACGAACCACGGCCTCACAGAAAACCGGCGTGAAACAAACACAACTTTGTTTTTCGCCGTGTGAGTGAGAGGTTACCGGAGGCCCAATCCTTCCCCTACCTCAATCCCTAAAAGGTCGGCAACGCACTCGTTACTCTTTTGCGCTGATTGCTTACCATTAGGTACTTAATCCGTCAGCTCGTTTGCCGTCCTATGACATAAAAAAAGCCGGTAACCTCATCTTACAGGCAAAACATTACACAGGCGTTGTTTCACGCCGTATTCTCAGAGGCCGAGGTATCATTCCAACCAAGCTGGCCCATTCCTGCTAAAGCATGGACCTTCAATATGATCGCATGAATATGAGCTCTTAGCGTGGCATGAAACTAATGATAATGTCAAATAATAATGTTGATAAGACGTTTAAAAACAAAGTTTTTTATACAAATAGAAGGTCGAAAAGGATACGCCATAAGTTTTAGTATAAGTATTGCCAAATCAAACTCAGTAAAAGATCGAAAATTCAAATTCATAATACATTGTTGGTGCAAGCCAACTTTGAAGTTAGCAAAACTTAAAACGTATGCACAAGCAGTTCCAAAGCTGGGTTGTTGCCACAAAGGACTTTAGTTCAAAAAGAGTTAGAAATAAAATCTAAAATACTTTGATATCTTCTTGGAAATGATATCAAAGAGCATTTGAATTTAAATTTTCTCTTTTATTTATTTCGGTTTAAAATAATCATTTACTAATAAACCAATAGCTCGAGTTCTAAAAAAATATTAACATCAACAACAGTATGTATGCATTTGTTGTTTACTGTTAAATTGTACAGTCCAACGTTAATAGTTCAATGAACAGTAACTTTATAGTATACGTTACGTTATGAATTAAATGTATTCAAAATAAACTTTTTATCGGAACTATTAAACTAAACATTATACTCTATCTTTGTAAAATATTCAGACCAAACAAATTATTTCGTTAGTCATTTGGTTTTTTTTTATGTCATAGATCGGCAAACGAGCAGACGGATTACCTGATGGTAAGCAATCAGCGCCGCCCATGGACACCTGCAACGGAGGAGTTACGAGTGCGTTGCCGACCTTTAAGGGATTAGGGATTTGGAGATTTAGGGATTGAGGAGGGATTGGGGGTGGGGAAGGATTGGGCCTCCGGTAACCTTACTCACACGGCGAAACACAATGCTGTGGTTGTTTCACGCCGGTTTTCGGTGAGGCCGTGGTATCACTCCGATCGAGCCGACCTATTCGTGCCGAAGCATGGCTCTCCCACATTTAAATGTTTTTTAATGTTTTCCGATTTTCCCAACATGTCTTTAAGTATCAATATGTATGTATGTATAACTATAAGTATGTATGTTTACCAATGGCAGGACAACAGAATCCCAGTCATTTGGGAAGCATACGAGGGCCAGAAGCCAACACTACAGATGCTCTTAGATAACCGGTTAAAATAAATAAACGATTATTTTAAGAACTATCAGCTCAAAATGACCTTGGAATAATGGATTGGTTCATCATCATCATCATCATCAGCCCTTAGCCTTTTACTTACCTAGAAATGTATTGCTAAGAAAGGACTGTACTATTTCATTCATTATAACAACACAGTAACGAACTACGTACAAGAATATTTCTATTACATATAAAGCTTACCTTTCCTATATCTATAAAACATTCACGTTCATTTAATACCTAGGTTTTAGGTTACCTGTAATTTATTAAACCAGGTACCTACAGACCCCAAACCTTAGCCTGGAATCCAATTAATATTTTACACGTATTGCATATCGGATAATTTGTGTGTACTGAGCCTTAAAAGCAGGCATGAGGTAATATCTACAGTAAATATCCTAGATTATTTGCGAGCTTTCGTTTAGGAAAACCAATAACTTGTACCGAAAACTGGCGAATTAAATATCTTTGAAAATTTTCAATTCTTAATGTTTTCTCATATCATCCATACATATCATCAGGCCTGTTCTGCAAAGGATTGGACCAGTTGTGACATATTTCTTGTTAGTATAAACAAAACATACCTATTAATTAATAGTAGCCAAAATTTCAAACTCTTTGTTAAAAAAAAATGTAGTTCTGTATTGTTGTATCCAATAAATGTTTAACCCAAAATACAGGTTCTTAGAATTGTGTGTATTAATAACCTTCTTCATAAATAACACATTTACCCACATACATATTTCCATGTCAAAACTTCAGAGTTAATTTCTACTGTGTCATTAATACGACTTAAGGAAATTGTTACACAACAACACAATTCCTTTGCAAAACGCCGCAACAACTTTTTGCTCCGGAATATTCATGTATTTCTCGGAATTGTTCCAAAGGACACAAAGTGAAACGTTTACGAAACAAAAGTTGAACAAAGGCAAAAACCAAATCGAGCTTACGCATGAAACATTTCCACCTACGCTTCACGTCAGCCCCGCCTAGCTATTATCCTAGATTTTCAGTCCAAAGACGCCATAAAATGAGCCTTTTGTTCTAAAGACAACGTTTACGTTTCAAGATAAGACGAAATTATCAAATAGGCATTCTCACAATTCCCAGTATAGCGATGAGTCTCGCTCCGCATCGTATATTCAAGTAGTCCAAACGTGGCACCGCTTGTGGTATCTTCTCAAGAATATAAATTTCGTCGTATACATCCATTTTATACAAATAAAGTTTCAAAATATACTAAAAAAAGTGTAAATAGAAATAAAAGTGTAAATCTTGTAAAATATAAGGTAAAAAATTGTGCACATAATGCCAATAATCGGCAATATAAAATCAACATGACACGTGACGGGAACCGTGACACTGTTATTTATTTTTAGAAGCATAAAGAATGGAAGTTATGAAGCAAGAAGGATGTAAATAGAATCGAAACTTTTATTTATTTGCAAAGTATTGGTCCAATAGGCATCTGCCCTGTATCGTGGGCGTTCACAAACACAAATCGTGATTCAACAAATACCCACGCTCTGGTCATTTTTAGCTATTTTTAACCAATAAAGAATCAAATTTATTGCTTTCTTCGCAAATGCTGATGAGGAGCGTAGATAGAAATAGGGCACTTGTGTGTATTTTTTACAAAATATAATAAAAAAATACATATAAATAAATGATTTTTAAAAAGATGTTAAGGTATTTTGAAAATACATAGTAAAACGTATTTTTACAGGCTTTATAGGTTAAATGAGATCGTCTCAGTTCATATGTTGTGCCCAGGAATGTTTATCGAATATGTGTTCTAGACCCATATACGCCTGTATGTGTTTTAGAAAAGATTTGAGCATATTGATACTACCTCAAGGTGGATAAGCGATTATAAATTATGCTTTCCTTCGCTGTAAGTGTGACTAAATTAACAAAGATAGTACATCAGTACTTGCCAGGACATGGCATCGAGTCTTCACGCATGGTAAGCGTGCGCTTTAAGCTCAAGGTCACCGCAATTATACATAAATAAAACTTATCAAACCTTCAAAAAAGAGTGACTTGTGAGTGAGTGACGTGACTTTTATAGGCGATATGTAAAAACTGCACATCCAACTCCGTTGACGACAAGCAAAGCAAAACTTAAGTCAAGAAAACATCTGACTATCAAAAATTAAGCAGCCTTAGAAGAATAACAAGTAGACATGATTTTATTTCGCTTTCTAAAAACCCCTCCACTTTCAATGCTCTCAAAACTTATAAAAAAGCTTCCAAAAGTGTTACTACAAATCCTAAATAAATTTACCCACTTGAAGTCTGCTCGGGAATCCTTAAAGAAATAGTGTATAAGAAGCGTGTGACACACCTGTGAAGCTGTGTCACAAAACTCATGAAGGCGAATTTATCCGCGCAAGTCGGGAACTGTTTGCCGAGTCTCGCAGTAAATCAAATGAGCGGGACGACGAGGCTTATCGTTGGAACACACTGCACACGTTTACTTGCGCTCTGATGTTTTTTTTTAAATATTAAATTAATATGGCAGTGTTTATTTCTTGATGTTTTTTTTTAACCCCCGACCCAAAAAGAGGGGTTTTATAAGTTGTGACGTGTCTGTCTGTCTTTCTGTCTGTGGCATCATAGCTCCTGAACGAATGAACCGATTTCAATTTAGTTTTTTTGTGTTACAGGTGTTTACAGGCGAGTGTTCTTATACATGTTTGATGAAAATCGATTGAGCCTTTTATGGGGGCCTTATATTATTATGGGGGGTTAAAGTGGGGAAGAAAAATCGAATGTCTGCAAATATGCTCAAGTGGGGTATCAAATAAAAGGTTATGACTTGTACGTCACAAAAAACAAAAACTTTAATAAGTTTGACGTGTCTGTCTGTGTGTTTGTGGCATCATAGCTCCTGGACGGATGACACGATTTCAATTAAGTTTTTTTTTTGTATTATATACTTTTTAAAGGTAGCTTATGTATTTTGTGTGGGTTTTTTTTTTAATTTTTAATTTATTAATATTTTTGTACCTGTATACGAATGTATGTCTTTTGGTGCTTATGTTTACTTAGAAATTAAGAGACGTTGATGTTTTTGAGGATTCTCTCAGACTCACTCTAGAAATTGATTGTTTAGCATCGTATACGTTATTTACAAACGAATACAACAATATTTTTTTTCAAAAAAAGAACACTCTCTCTCTCTTTCTCTTTACAATACGGCAACGCATTTACTTATGACTTTTTGGTGTTGTGTACGTTCATGGGCGGTACTTTATCGTTTTCTATCCCCTAAAACAATGTGAAAAAAATCTGGTTCTCGTTTTAGGAAACTGGAGT